AAACTCACTGTGTTGCTAATTAGTAGTGCAGTGAATGCTTGCATGTGTGCTGTATGCAATTTGCGGTGCCTCAAACTGCTTTTGAGATGTCGCAAACTGCATGCACACACTTGTGGGGATGTGTTCCTGGGGTCCCTCCCAGCTCAACTTTTCAATGATTCTGGATTCGTGGCCATGTAAGGAAACTGCCCTGGGAGGGAGGGCGGGAGCTGTGGGTTCTGGCCCCTGCTCTCACCTTCCCAGTGCTGTTTATGCATTTTATAAAGGGCTACATAATGCCAAATGCATAAAGACACTGGATGAAAGGACCAGAACCCAGAGCACCTTCTCTTACAAGAAAATGTCTCCATTACTGGGTTACAAAGTCAGGCTGTCTCTTATCTGCTCCCCTTTTAACCACAATGGCTTTTATGGTTTGTAAGCCAAGCTCAGAAATTTTAGTGGCATTCATCTGTAATTCTTAAATTATGGTGGATGGGAAACTGCATAGATCATGTAGAATTGTTTCTGGTTTGGGGGTTAGTTGAGTAATCTTGTTGAGTCAGGACTAACAGAAACTATTTCTGTGCATTTTCTCCTGCACTGAATCATTGTATCATTTTGGGTAGCAAGTCTTTGGCATAGATCCCACTTTATGATATGTATGAGTGGACTGCTGTGACTACGTAGAGCCCTGTCAGCTTCAATAATAGAAAAGGATTCTACTACAAACTATCCATGACTAATAGGTATGGCAGACATTCCCAAATTGTTTTTCCATCAGTTTAGTTTAGCATAATTGTCTTTCTGGGTTGTACTTTCAGGACAAGCTTTATCCTTAACTGGAAAACAATCTTGGACTGACATCAAACCAATGAGGCTATTACCAAAGGTCGTTGCTATAGGTCTTAGTTATTCCAGTCATTGGGGAAAGAATCTGCTGTGAGTTTTTGTGATAGTTTTCAGTTCCTAATATTTTTTATTGTGTGACCCTTGCTTACGTAATAGAGATAAAAAGGACTAAGGGTCTTAGTTTCATAGTTTGTAGGGTTGGAAGAGACCTGAGCAAATCATCAAGTCTGACCCTCTACCATGGCAGGAAAGAGTACTGGGGTCAAACGACCCCAGCAAGGTGTTCATCTAGCCTCCTCTTAAAGACCCCCAGGGTAGGAGCCAGCACCACTTCTCTTGGAAGTTGGTTCCAGATCCTAGCCACCATGACAGTGAAGTAGCGCCTCCTGATGTCTATCCTAAATCTACCCTTTGCCAGCTTGTGACTGTTATTCCTAGTCACTCCTGGTAGTGCTCAGGGGAACAGGGACTCCCCCAATACCTGCTGGTCTACCCTGACCATTTTGCAAACAGCCACTAGATCCCCCCTCAGCCTTCTCTTGCGGAGGCTGAACAGGTTCAGGTCCCGTAGCCTCTCCTCATAGGGCCTGGCCTGCTGACTCCTGATCATGTGAGTGGCCTCCTCTGAACCCTCTCCATGTTGCCCACATCCCTCCTGAAGTTGGCACCCAGAACTGTGGCCTGATGAGTGTTGCATAGAAGGGAAGGATCACCTCCTTGGACCTTCTCGGGATACATCTGTGGATGCATGACAAGGTACTGATGGCCTTCCTGACTGCTTCCCCACACTGTCAGCCCATGTTCATCTTGGCATCAATAATGACTCCAAGGTCCTCTTCTGCCTCTGCAGTGATGAGAAAGGACTTCACCAGCCTGTAGATATGGTGCTGGTTCTTCCTCCCCAGGTGCAGCACCTTGCACTTGTTAATGTTGAAACCCATCCTGTTCTCATCCGCCCACCCCTGTAACCTGTCTAGGTCTGATTGCAGCCTATTCCTTCCTTCTAGCATGCCCACTTCTCCCCACATCTTAGTGTCATCTGTGAATTTGAACAGGGTGCTTTTTACCCCCTCATCCAAGTCGCTGATGAAGATCTTGAACAGTGCAGGCCCGAGGACCGAACCCTGGGGGACCCCACTGCCCACATCCCTCCAGGTCAAAAATGACCCATCCGCCACCACTCTCCGGGTGTGGCCCTCCAGCCAGGTGGCAACCCATTTGACTGTGTAGGTATCAACACCACAGTCCCCCAGGTTTTTAATAAGAATGGGGTGAGAGACAGTGTCGCAGGCCTTCCTAAAGTCCAGAAAGACTACATCCACTGCTACCCCTGCATCTAAGGATTTGGTGATCTGGTTGTAGAAGGCCACCAGGTTGGTCTGACAGGACCTGCCTTTAATGAACCCGTGTTGATTG